AATTCATGAACGTTTACCAGAAAATCTTATATTACATTAGGAGGCAATATAAAAACTAAAAAGTTGGATTATTTTTCTCTTCTGTATGCTATTTGTTTTCTATTTTCCTAAGATTAAATATACATAAACCCAAAATTTGGACTCCAGTATATGAAAATCAAATTTGCTATTTTTCCCAGCTTATGTACACTGTATATGAATATTACAAAAAGTTTTGTAATTTTCATTAACATTTTTAATAATTAATGTTTATTTAAGTGAATAAAACAAAGAAAAATATCTAAACTATTTGGAAACAAACTTTTATATTTTTCCCAACTTTTATATATCTAATAACACTAGAAAAAAAAATTGGGAATTTTTGAAACTGTTTCTACTTATCTTTATTTTGATAGAATAAATACACAAAAATCAGACAAATCATGTTAAACTGTTCGAAAATCAGTTTTTATATTTTTCCCATATTATATATGTTTCACAACAGTGGTGCACCAAGTTTGAGGAATTTTCTTAACTGGTTACTATTTTTCATGAATTTGTATCAATTTAGAGAATTAAATATAGGAAAAAAAGCTATACATATATATCTACAATTCATCAAACATTTTCTAGAAATCTTTGACTACAATGGGAACACTAATATGAAGTTTTTCGATTTTTAATTACGTATTTCTATTTAATTAAAATTTCTTGGTGTAAAACACAATTAAATTACAAAAACCAGGATTTGTTGATCCAAAGTAGCATTTAATAATTTTCCCGGTTTAGGGATACTATAAAACAGTTACACAAAAATTGTAAAAGCTTTTTATGACCATAGACTATTTTCCCATGATTTCATGAAGTTTTTAAGTAATAAATGGTGGAAAAATAATTAAGAACATCTAAAAATCATGAAAAATTACAAGCAAGTTCTTCATTGCAATAATAGCTGAAATACAAAGTTCTGGAAATTTTGGAACTAAATTGATTTAGTTTTTGAATATTTAATCATTGGAACACCTCCTAAAATGTTAAATTTTAACATTTCAATAATGAGAATTTGTTATACAACAAATTGATTCATAGAAATCTAAATTTCACAAAAAAAAATGTTTGTAGCTTAACAATATTAAATTTTGACACAATATTGGCATAATTTTATTGTAAGAGTAAGTATACTGGTATTAGATTTCGATTAGAGACTCATTAGTGTGTAACCTTGTTGTACGAATCAATAGTGGTACGATTGGATCGTAGTTCAAGGCACCATTTTCATTATATCAAAGCATTGTGAGTATTGACGCCTCCCCCTATTTTCGGTTTTTATGTTTTGGGGTGGAAAAGCATGTCCGAAAAACTATTTATTGTTCGTTGTATTTAAATTGATTTGTATCAAACTTGATTGCTATATTTTGCTATGTATGTCTATGCAACTTGAAACATGAGGCCTTATCGTCTTAAGTCCGTTACACTTTACTCCAACCATTAACTCTTTGAGCCAATGGTCATTATGAATAGCACTATTAGGAATTGACAACTCCTCACTCGCCCGATTGCTTAAGTGTATGATACCATATTCATCTATGGAACAATATGTGACAACCCGAAAATTTTTAAATTTTTTCCTTGCAAAGCCCAGCCAGTCAACTCCGCTGAGTGTCAGACTCATTTCTGCTATCATTTAGCCCCGTTTGGAGTCTGTTTAAAGGTTCAAAGCTCAGTACATTCCAGCATTGAGCATAGGAATGGATCGCGTAAACTTCTAGCACCAAAATCGAGCCCTACACTCCAACATCAGGAGTGTACGGCCGCACACTGGGTGTGCGGCCGCACACCCCTCTCCTGGAAGCACACTCACGTGTATAAGGTTGGGACTTAGCCTTCTTTCATCCCTTTTCACACTCCCAAGCCTAGAACTCGACTTCTCTCTTAACTATCATCCGATTTGCAGCCTAGATCTTCGAGTTTGTAAGTGTTCTTCTCCTAATTTGTTGCTAATCTTCTTAAACTAGTAACACCCTTTGATTTCATCCATTTGAAATCATGTTTTGGCTAGATCTTCAAATCACCAACCATTTCACCAAGAACACACACTTGTTCTTGGTGATTTTGAGCCTTCTCAAGCTTCTGGATCGTAAGTACTCTTCCCTTAAGCTTAGAACTTGTTAAGAACACGAGATTAAGGCCTTGAAACTGCCCAGAACTCAAGAACATATGGTGTGTGCCTTGGTAGAAGGCTACGTTTAGTAGAAAGGACCATAATGCTAACCTTATGATTCCTTAATGTATACATCAAAGGATACATATATATCAATAGGATCCGACGGGTAATAGGATGTGTGCTCTCCGCTTCATTTCCTGTTCCTTGTTTGGTTGTGGGCATGGAGCAGATTCACCCAGCCTATTATCTATTCGATTTTAGATATATATGTCCAGTATAGGACACAGAGTCAATGCACAGTTTTCTAGTACAAAACATACTTTCCAAATCAGAGCTTTGGTATACAAAACTAGAAACTTATCAGTTAAGGGTTTAATCCATTTTATTAAACCAGGATAACTTCAAGGACCTTAAGTGGATAACTCTATAATACCTTAGATTATACATCAGAGTTATATATATAATTAATAACCGATAGATAGTTGGATGTGTGCCTTCCGCCTCATTTCCTGTTCCTTGTTTGGTTGTGGGCTTAGGGCAGATCCACACAATTAACTATTTGTTCGGTGTTAGATTATATATAATTAGTATAAACCAAGTGATTATAAAAGGAACCACTGTGGTTACTATTTTATTATAATAAATAAGAGTTTTCTTAAAGGATCTTTCTTCAAATATAAAGGAACTATTACAGTTAACTCCGTGAGTACCAAGGGAATACACCAGGGTTATATACAACAAGGATCCAACAACCAATGGGATGTGTGTTTTCCGCCTCATTTCCTGTTCCTTGTTTGGTTGTGGTCTTAGGGCAGATACACACAATCGATTGTTTGTTTACTCTGGGTTTTATATAACTTGTATCCATTTAATACTCATAGAAAGGACTGTTTAGTCATTTTTACTTATCTTTCATCAAGCAGGAAATATAGGATTTCCTGGAGGAACAGGCAAACTTTTATAAACATCACTCACTACAATTTTCTACAACTTTCTACAAACTTTCTCACTAATACTACATCACTAAAATCTTATGAACTCACCAGCTTAATTGTTGATCAACTCTTTCAAATAACTTGTATTCTCAGGAGCCTAGTAGACAGCTACTCGTGCTGGGAATTCAGAAGATGGAGCAGTATAGCTTCAAGTCTTGTTTGTTATTTGCTTATGTATTCTATATATTGTGAACACACACTTTGTAAACACTTTCTTTCTAATGAAATGGTTGTTCATTACTTTGCTTACTATGATGCATGTTTTGTGATACTAAACATGACGTCCTCCACCCCAGAACGTTTCCGCCGTTCCAGTTTTGGGGTGAGACACAATAAGCACAGATCTTGATAGGGAATCAGTCATAGGCTTGGTTGTGAACTCATTGTTGATTGTTATGTGCATACAAAGATTATTACATACATCCAAATTTATTTACTCATCATAGCAATGAAATGTGTTTACACATTTTAACAACGAAATGTGTATACTCATTTGAGCAATGAAACTTGTTTACTCGTTTTAGCAATGAACTTTATCTCCCATGAGAATATGAACTTTGCATCTTATTTTGGCAACATACTTTATTTCTCATGATGACAACGAATTTTGTTTATGCAAAATTATTTACTTATTTTAGCAATGTACTTTTATTTATTGAAAATTATATCAAAATTTTGATTACAATTCATGAAATCAATATTTTTGTAAACCTGTGATCTCACCAACTATTTTTATAGTTGACGCTCGTTTTACATGCTTTTTCAGGAATCATCTAGGAAGAGGCACCTAAAGACACATCACTTGTAGGAGCATTCGCATGTGTTGTCTTTCAAATCCATTGTAATTCTTTTAAAAAGTTGTTCAAGCTCATTGTAAATTGTAATGCTTTTTAATACTATGGTTGGTGTTGTCTTTTAACTTTTTCTATGAGACCCTTTGTACTGTTGCACCTCGTGTTTCCGCTTTAGCGGGGTATAACAACCATAGTCTGAAATTTGTGTTCCGGCTAGTCAAACGAGTGATTAAGACATTACGGTTCGGCTCAATAAAAGCTGACCGGACACGGTCCAATGTAAAGGACATAGATTGTTAATAAGTATTAACAACTTTTCAGCACCATTTTCAGAGTAACAGAAGACATCCCAAGGGTATGCTTTCACAACAAAGAAGTAAATAAAGAAGTGGAAAATGCAAGCGTCATTCATCACTAACAGAGATATATTCATACTACTCGTACAAAAAATAAAGGTCTTAAACAAGCATACAAATAAAAAAGAAACTAGAATGATCATTCGTCAGATACAGTTGTAGAAGAATCCATATCTTCCAGCTGCTTCTTCAAGGAACTAGCGTCTACATCATTACCTTCCAGCATCTTAAATAGAGAACAGTTGAAATTGGTTAGCTCGGAAAAGCCTTGTAGGACCAAGTTAGTGGCACCTGGAAAAGAGTAGGGAAGCTCAAGCCCAGCTGATTCTTCAGGGTATTAGGTTACCATATCAGTGCACGCTTGGTGTTGGTCGAGCTAAACAGTTTCCTCCTTAAGGGATGCATTGATATGCCTAAAATCCTCCGAATTTAGAAGGGCCCGGACAAATAAGGGGATACCTTACTTCAACAGCCATTGAAGATCGAAAGAATGTTGTTTGGATATTTGTTGGTGGAACAATACATCTTGCTTAACCAAATCATTCTCATCTTCCAGCTCCTTGAGACATGACTCTTTTTCCTCCAAGGATGAACAGTATTTGGTGACCTCGTTCTCTAATTGCTAGATGCGGACATCGTTTTCAGAGCAAACTTTGTCTAGACTATAAACTTTCTCCAAAAAAATGAGTCTTTAAGCCAGTGAATTGTTGAGTTAGCTCTTCGATAGCTTTAACCAAGGATGCCTGCTGATTTTATACCCTACTAATTTTTCTTGAAGAGAAAGGTTATGTTGATGCAGCTCTTCAGGGGTAAGTTCAGGGGCAGAGTCATGGTCACGAGTAGGGGGGTCTTCAATTTGAACGAGAGGACCGAAGGTTGAAAAGTCCACAAAGAAGATCTCAGGTTTCCATTTCTTAATGGAAGAGTGTAAGTCATCACAGATTTCAATGGAGCTATGGTGGATGGAAAACGATACACAGTCATTGGTCACCATCGTTACATAAAAGTGGTGAAACACTAATAAGGATGGAACGGTGTTTAGGGATTTGTTTAGGACTACGAAACACATAATCTTCTTGAATCCATTAGGGGAGATTTGAGCAATATCAAGCTTGTAGTAACTCAGGACATAGTTCAAAAATCAAAAGCAAGAAGGCGAAGGTCGGATCTAGAGAAGATGGTATAAACACCCACGTAGCCTGGAGGATGGTCTATAATGGATTGGTTTTTTCTCAAGAATCGTAGGTTCTTCCTCTCACCATCTCTTACTCTCTTTAGAAGCTAGTTAAAGTTATGGTGCTTAGAAGTGCTTCTCTTTTAGTACTTAATTGTTGTAAGTACTTAAATGTGACAACCGTCAAATTTCGGTCAAGCCAAAGTCAAACTAAGTCAACAAGTCAAACCGGTCAACTCCCTTAACCCTTGTATGTTAGGGTTTACGTTATGTAATAACTGTACAATTCGCTACTTTAATGAGAAAACATCATTTGGAAAATTCGTGTGTTTGATTCTCCTTAGCCTTTACAGTGCTAAACAACATTGGAAATTTAATAAACCCTACTCAAGATTACTTGACGCTAATAGGATCAAAACCCATACACTACGATATAAATGGACGTTAATAGCAACATAGTATAGTACAACGTTATAACTATAATCAAATTAAATTATGATACCATATTAAAATCAAATCAAAGTATAATGCTCTAATTAAATTAAAAGAATCAAACTTGAATGTTATAATTAAACTTCAAATCAAAGTAGATTGTTATAATCAAATAATAACCTATCTTTTTTATAAAACTCCCTTTTTATAAACTTTACATTAAATTTTATAAAACTCTATTTTTATAAACTTTACATTAAATTTTATAAAACTCTTATATTAATTATGTAAAAGATGCTTGTGTTAGTGGGAAATTATGAAGACCACCAAAAGCAAAAAGATTATTCCCATGGTCTCCCACTCACACCTCTCATCCACTTTCCTTTTTCTTTTTCTCCCAACACATTATTCTCTTCACCACTTAAACCTTCTCTATTCTTTCTCTCACTCTCAATCTCGAAATTCATCCAAGAAATACTCATATTCCAGCCAAGAACAATCTATTATACTCCAATCTTCATCCCTCTTGAAGCATTCATCAAGGTATGTTGTTAAAAGTTTCAAATTCATACAAGAAACAAATTAAATCCACCAAAATATCTAAAACTCATTTTATGCATAAATCTGATTTTTCTCAGAATACCATCAATAAAATAAGAAGTTCTGGAAATGTTCAGAAAATAACTTATTTTTATTGAATTATTATAATTATTGCGATAAAGTAGGGCAATAATTCACATAAAATACTTGTTACATTCAATAAATTCTGAGAAAATTCTGGGATGACCTATATATTGATTAAACATGATATATGAAGTTTCATGCATTTATATTACTGTTTACTATTATTTATGATTTTATTGATTAATTAATAATGAAATATATAAAAAATACTTCACATAGTCACAAACATCTGAAACTTATACACTGGGCTCTATATCATGTTATAAAACTATGGTTAATTTTATAGAATTTTTGGGAATAATTTACTATTTCTCCCGAATTTTGTGTTGTTTAATCATTAAAATATTAAATAAATACTAAAACAGTTCAGAAAAATATAAAACTTTTACAGTAATTCATATTGTATGAAATAATGATTTCCTAATAATTTCATATTTTTTCAACACTGTTTACTATTTAAAACCATTTTCCTAAGTATTTAAGCATTTAAAAATGCATTATAATGATTATTTCATATAAATAATTGTTAAAATCTGTAAATAATTATAATTGGGCAAGTTATTATTTTAGAAAGAAATTATTAAAATCTGGCCTAAATTGAAAATATAAATTAATTATGCAAAGTAATTAATTCAATTTAAAAGTCATTTAACAAATAAATACCTTAATATTATAATCAAAATGAATTATTGTTAATTCATCTAATATAAGAATATGTGTCTAATTATTTGTATTAATACTCCATTCTCGTTTAGCAGTTCCTAAACCAAAACTATTAATTATATTAGGTTCTACGCCATTTTGACCCGAACCGTCTATCGTACGACACACGCATTTCGTTTTGGGACTAAAGTGAGTAATCTACCCCATACTTTATAATTTTCAATACTTTTGGGGTGTATCATGTGGTTCTAATATGTTCCAACTTCATTTTATTGTTTTATCACAATTGAGACATTGTTGGGACATTTATACGTGAGTCATTAATTGTATAACTATTGTTTGTTTACGCTACATGTACTTGTAGTGCATTACCATTTTTAGTCTAATCTCCATGACTATGCCCGTATTCTTGAGGTACGTTATGGACAATAATAGCGCTATTGGGTTGACCACCCCGCCTTGGGAAGCTAAGGTGATTGATCGCACGTGGTTGAGTGTGTATGATGATTAGATGCTCCATCCTATATATATTTTTATATATATACATATGTATATATAGGGTGAGGACTTATTGTTGTTGTTATCATTTGTTAATCAATTTTTGATTTATAAACCGTTATCTCAAATACAATTGTTTGCCGACTTCAAAAGAAAACAAATTTCAAATTATAAATGTTTCAACTTCACAATTTTCTCTACTAAAATTAGATTACTCACCAACTCTCGTAGTTGACCTTGTTTTTACCCATGATGCAGATTTGAAGAATGAAGTTGATGAAAAATAGGTTGTGCCTTAGAAATCCACAAGACTATTTAAATTTGATGTAATAAATGTTGTTCGTATTTGGATTTGTATTTGTATCTTGTTTGCATACTTAGTACTTAATTGAATCTAATCATATTATAACATAGTTGTCATGAGACTTTGAACAATATATCACGCCTTGATCGATTCCGACAAGGATCGGGGTGTGACAGATTGGTATCAGAGCCCTTGACTATAGGGAATTAGGTTAATTGCCTTGACCTAGTCTATAGCCTCTAGGGTCCTCTCGTATGCTAGTTTATAAAATGCACACACAACTGCATGCAATTCACACTTAGAAAATCCTAGGAATACCTTTGTGTGTTAATTGCTCCCTTAAGTGCATACGTATTACTCCTGACACTTATATGTGTGCATACACTGGTGAATATTCTCCTCTTTCTCTGAAAATCACACACATATTCAAGTGGTTTTAAAAAAATGTATATACATATATATTCCTTAGAGCTCATAGGAAATTCAAAGTCATCCACTCTAGTTGGGTAGGATCATAGTAATGGACGCGTAGTAACTGGAAGGGGGAGGTGCCGGTAGCCCGAAAGTCCTGACTAGGCAAGCATTCGTATACATCCCAATCAACCGAGGGACCAGTTTGCTTATCTGGGGACCAAAGGCGAGAGTTCCCAAACCTATAGGCCAAAGCGCGTCATTCACATTACTTTTGAGCCATCAAAATACCCGACCTTATCAAACGTATCCGAAAGGATACACTCCAAAATGGCCAACTCATTGGACTATTAAGTTCCCTAATGGGCCTAGAAGTGGGAAAGACATGTGAAAACTTAGTTTTGTGGGGGCCCACGCAAGTGCTACATGTTTCACATTTAGTAACCATGGAAAGCCCAAAAGGTGCCCAACACTCCTAACCATGGCCCAACAAGTGTTTTACAATTATTTTACCCAACAATGTCTAAAAACTTTATTTCCATAATCAATTTACAAATAACTCACAAGTCCATATGCGTGTTTCTCGTAGATGGCATTACGACCCCCATACGCTGCTCGCAACAACCGAAGGCTAGCTGCCCTTATCGCCAAGGAGGTAGCAAACGTCATCCCAACAATTGCAACCCAACTTCATTCTCTTCAGCCACAAGCTCCAGCAACCACTCCTCGTTGCTCGTTCAAGCACTTTCGTAACTGCAATCCGCCTTACTTCAAAGGCATCGATGGTGCCACCGCACTCCTCACATGGATTGAAGAATGGAGAGTACTTTCATCCATAGCGAGTGTCCTGAGGACCTGATGGTCCGTCATGCTACAGGGTGCCTCCAAGGTCATGCTCTCACATGGTGGAACCTAGAAAAACGGGCAAAGGGAGAGGTTGTTGCCTTGGGAATGACCTGGTCAAAACTAAAGGAACGCATGATGGAGAAGTTCTGCCCTGACAGCGAATTGCAAACTCTCGAGGATGAATTCTGGAATCTGAAACAGGTGGGAGGCGACAACGCGACCTACACCAATAGATTCCATGATCTCTCGAGACTCCTACCTCACATGGTTCAACCTATGAAAACTGCAATACGCCGCTACATCAAAGGGTTACCACGCCAGATCCGTGATTCGGTGACCAGCAGCAGGCCATCTACCCTAGAATCCGCCATTGAAATAGCAGGTCAACTCAACGAGGACAATATGAACGATGGTGTCCTCCCACGCAAGGGTTCAAAGATGTCAACTGAAAAGCCGACCCCTGAGACCCCCCTAATTGTCAAGTCCGAGTCCTCCCACCGACATGACAAAAAGAAGCGGAAAAGTCATCACCACAACCATGCTGTTATTACCCCTGCTACTCCTATCACCCAAGTCACCCCACAAGCCCAACCGAATAAAAAGCCGTATACCGGACCTCACCCCCTCTGTAACCACTGTAACTATCACCATATGACCACCAGCCCGTGTCTTCTCTGTACGAATTGTGGTCGCTATGGCCACTTGGCGGACACCTGTCGTGCACCAAAAACTCAGCGACCACTCTATCTACCCTCAAATCAGCAAACACAAACCCGGTATCCAACTGGAACATGCTTCAACTGTGGTGACCCCACCCATTTCAGAAACGCGTGTCCTAGGCTAGTCAATATCATCAACACCCAAGCCCAGGCAAATCCAACAATGCAGGTTCCAGCTCCCAAAGGCCGAGCCTTTGTCATTACCGCAACCCAAGCAAAGACCGATAACAAGGTCGTAAATGGTACGTTTCTCATAAATGACT